CTCATCCCTCACACCCCGTCCACGCAATAAGAACCAAAAAAGAATCCCCCTCGTCCTCACGTACCACCCCACCAACCTCCGGATCCAACGCATCATCCTCCGACACTTCCGCCATCTGCAATCCGACCCCACCACCAAAGACATCTTTCCCTCCCCACCCTTATCTGCTTTCCGGAGGGACCACTCTCTCCGTGACTCCCTTGTCCGCCCCACACTCCCCTCCAGCTCCACCACACCCGGCACTTTTCCCTGCAACCGCAGGAAGTGCTACCCCTGCCCCCATACCTCCTCCCTCACCCCCATCCCAGGCCCCAAGAGGACTTTCCACATCAAGCAGATGTTCACCTGCACATCTGCTAATGTGGTATACGGCATCCGCTGTACCCGGTGTGGCTTCCTCTACATCGGGGAAACCAAGCAAAGGCTCGGGGACCGCTTTGCAGAACACCTACGCTCGGTTCGCAATAAACAACTGCACCTCCCAGTCGCGAACCATTTCAACTCCCGCTCCCAATCCTCAGACGACATGTCCATCCTGGGCCTCCTGCAGTGCCACAACGATGCCACCCGAAGGTTGCAGGAACAGCAACTCATATTCTGCTTGGGAACCCTGCAGCCCAATGGTATCAATGTGGATTTCACAAGTTTCAAAATCTCCCCTCCCCCTACCACATCCCAAAACCAGTCCAGCTCATCCCTGCCTCCCTAACCTGTTCTTCCTCCCACCTATCCCCTCCTCCCACCTCAAGCCGCACCTCCATCTCCTACCGACTAACCTCATCCCACCCCCTTGACCTGTCCGTCCTCCCTGGACTGACCAATCCCCTCCCTAACTCCCCACCTACACTCACCTTTACTGGCCCCATCCCCGCCTCTTCGACCTGTTTGTTTCCTCTCCACCTATCCTCTCCTCTATCCATCTTCTATCCGCCTCCCACTCTCTCCCTATTTATTTCAGAACCCCCTTCCCCTCCTCCTTTTCTGATGAAGGGTCTAGGCCCGAAACGTCAGCCTCTCTGTTCCTATGATGCTGCTTGGCCTGCTGTGTTCATCCAGCCCTGCACCTTGTTGTCTCGGATTCACCAGCATCCGCAGTTCCAACTATCTCTGAAGCATTACCACATTATTGTTTCCTCGTTCTTACCAGTACTCTGATAGGAATTTTATTTCAGTACATGAAATTGTAAATAAATACACTTTTTTAAAATCAATGAATGCTGCTTAGCTAGTCACTAGGTGGTGGATCTATTCCAGTTAGCAACTTGGTCGTTGATCTTTCTTGTTTGCGTGTTCCTCAGCGCAGACAGAAAAACCTTAATTTGTGTCTGTCAGAATTTTCCAAAACATTGATTGGCATCTCCAATCTGTACACTCAATTAGTTTGCTTTCCAGCTCGACCAAAAGGATATTCAAGACCATTGGTACAAAGCAGTAAACCAGTACAGAGAGTCCTCCTCAATGACTTACTGTCATTTCTTTTTCACCTCGCCCTCACCCATCTCTCATAGTCACATAGATGTGTAACAACATGGCACAAATTTATAAGTATTGAGACAAAAATAAATGGGAAGGCAGAAGGTGAGGATGACACAAACAGCCTGTAGAGGGATATAGACAGAGTGGGCAAAAACCTGGCAGATGGAATACAATGTGGGAAAATGTGACGTTATGCACTTTGGCAGGAAAAATAGAGGAACTAAATACTATTTAAATGAAGAAAGACTGCAGAAAGCTATTGAACAGAGGAACTTTGGAATTCTTGTCCATGAATCACGAAAAGCTAACATCCAAGTTCAGCACGTAATAGAGGAAGGTAAATGGAATGAAGTATAAAAGTAGGGACGCTTTGCAAAAACTATACAAGGCACAAATCAGACCACAGCTGGGATACTGTGAACAGTTTTGAGCCCCTAATCTAAGGAAATATATATTGGTATTGGAGGCAGTCCAAAGAAGATTCAACAGGCTGATACCAGGTAGGAAGGGACTCTCTTCTGAGGAGAAGTTGAGGAGACTGGGTCTGTACACATTGGAATTTATAAGAATAGGAGGCAGCCTTATTGAAACATACAAGATTCTTAGGGGGCATGACAGGGTAGATGTTGAAAGGTTGTTTCTCCTTATGGAAGGGTCGAGGATCAGAGGCGTTAATTTCAAAATAAGAGGTTGTACATTTAGGACAGAGACAAGAGGAATTTCTTCTCTCAGAATGTAGTGAATTTGTGGAATTCTTTACAACAGAAGGTTGTTGAGGCTGAGTCATTAAGTAAATTCAAGGCTGAAATTGTAAGGGAATTCAAGGGAGTAAGGGAATTCAAGGGTTATAGGAAAAAGGCAGGAAAGTGGAGTTGAAGATGATCAGATCAGCCATGATCTCGCTGAACGGTGGAGCAAACTCAATGGACTAAATGACCTACTTCTGCAGTGTTCCATCATTTATTCCTATCCTTTTTTAAAAAAATATTCCGAAGATCTATCCCAAATATTAAAGACCCAGAACACATTTGCACATCATAAAACCTTGCACTGCCCACTCCAGCTATATATATAGATACTGTTCATAGGCAATTTAAGTGGATAGGCTGAGGAACGAACACAGAATGATTGATGAACGAAAAGGAGAAATTGGTGCGACTGGGAAAGAACACAAACTTGGTGGCAACCACACAAAATATTCCATTTTCTTTTCTTTACACGTCTTGGAGGCCATGCTAATCTGAAGGAGTGAAGTTGTTTAGTCTTCATTTCTTGCTTGGTCTTTAGTTCTGCTTCCCTCTGGGCACAGATGGTATTTCAAAATAATAAAAAAAATATTTGTTATGATATGTAAAGTAATTTAAGAGAGAAATAAAAGATCCATCCTTATCTGCTTATCCTCACAAATCTGCTGTAGGCTGAACAACACATTTAAAAGGCTGCACAGAGCTTCCTGCTGTTCAATTACAAGTACCGATAAATATGCAATTACCTATGCCTAAGAAATCTCCCTGGACAGGCTATTGGAAGATACAGCACTTTGTATTTTTAAAAGTATGATGGTGTTGTAAATCACACTGATGTAATTTCGGGTCTCAAAATTTAAGATTATGCCAACTATGATGTAATGTGAAATAAAAGTGCAATAACATTGAAAAAACACAGGAACACAAACAATGCAGAAACACCAATATTGTATCCAATACAGCAGTACACTAAAAGTACTTTTAGAATGCAATTGTACTGCAACCCCTCATATATTGAAGCAGCCACTGCCTTGATATAACAAGACCTGGACAACATCCAGGTAAACAGCAAGTAATGTTCACTCCGCAGAAGTGCCAGGCAATGAGCATCTCCAACCAAGAGAGTCTAACCACCTCTGCTTGACATTCAATGACATTGCTGTTGCTGATTCCCACACCATCAATGTCCTAATGGTCCCCTTCGGAAAAAGTGCTGGACAACATGAAGCATATAAATACCGTGGCTACCAGAACATAAGGTCATAATTTGGTTATTCTGCAGGAATGATTCACCTCCTGTTTCATCAAAATCTATCCATCTATCCAATGACATAAACCAGGAATACACTGGACTATTCTCCACTCGCTTGGATGAATGCAACTCCCAACAAAAGTCAAGAAGCATCACACCATCCAGGACAAAGAAGTCCACTTGACTGGCACCCCATCCATGACCATCGGAAGTGACAGCAGTATGTACAAGACACATTGTAACAAGTTGCCACAGCTTCTTCAACAGCACCCAGAAACAGGTTACCACTACCAGTTAGAAGGACAGGG